CTTTGGCCTAGAGTTCCTCAGGGGTAGATTTCATTATGGAAGAGTCTGGGAGATCTGGACCAAGCAAGTTAGACAAGAGAAAGGAAAAAGAAGGAAAGACAAGGAAACCAACTCAGAAAGTGTTACCTTTTATGTCTTTAGGCCTAACAACTGAGATAGGGAGCGGAGCTTCAATCGATATCTCAGGAGGACTGAATCCCTGTGTTACTAAGACCTAGGGCTTGATGAGCTCAGAGTACTTTTCTGAATTACACTTCTCCAACTTTTGCTTTACCCTCTCGTTCTCAGCACTGAGCTCTAGTCGAATGCCTGAAAAGCAACACAAGGAGAGCAAAAGTCAAAAAGGCAACTTAGCGATTCCCAAACTAGAGCTCAATTAGTTCGAGCAAGAGCTCACCTAAGTTATCAGGAGCGGACAAAGTTCTAGGGATACCCAGAGTATCAATCCTGTCAGCAGGGTTGTACTCCCAATTGATGCCCCCAACAAAAAAAAATTTGTTTCTTCCAACCCTTATGGGAGCTTGGGAGATGAGTAATGATTTGCTTAGCCGTGATTCGCTTGGAGATATATAAGAAACCCTCTGATGAGGTGAGCTTGACATTAAAGAGATCCACAAGCAAGGAAAGGCTGGGGACCCCGAGTTCATGAATCTTGAAGAAAATCAGAAGATCCACAAGTACTGTAACACCCCGCATTTTCTTTTATATATGTATATAGATATATAGTAAATAATTGTTGTAAAAATGGGGATATGTGTAGTGATGTGTGTTTGAATTTGGTAGAATGAAAAAGGGATGAACAGTGCACTGGCTGTAACATCAAGCTCGATTTCGACCTTGATGCAGTCCATATCTCTCAAAACTTAAAACATGAAATTTGTAGAGCTCTCTGTTAGGATTCCATATCACCTTGAATCATCTCAATCGGAACTAGGAGGAAGGAGTTATGTCCATATTACGAAGTAGTGTCTACACTGTCCAAAAATCTGTCCGGCAGACTACCTTTCACTAATTTCATCATAACTCTTTATTGGAAAGTCCGAATTGTGCACCGTTATTTTTGTTAGAACCCTAACTCATATATCTTTCCAACCATATAGGTTACACCTCCTAGAAATACCTGAGTCAAATCAGTTTATTCTATGAAGTTGACCAAAAATCTGCACTATGGTGCTCCTTGGATAGTAAAGGGTTGTGCTTTCTTATTAGACCTTGAAGGTGTAAAACCCCATATGTTTACATTAATATATTAATGTACTTGTTTAATGATTCTTCTATATGTAATGACTTAAGAATAAACCATATATATTAAAATCGCAAGGATATCACCTATAGTAGTTCGAAAGAATAAAATAGAAATTTTAATGTTCTAAGTGTGAATTTATTTTAGTTTTGAAATAAATCATAAAAAGCAATGTTTTTAGGTTAAAATAACATTAAAAATTAATCCGGAACGTCGAAAAACCTTAGGGTAGTCGTATGGATCAAATTGGAGATTTCTAGTGGCAAAACTGTAATTTTGAAAAAAAAACTCAAAATTCAGCCATGAACAGTGATTTGTCGCGGACTGCTGTGTTTAAAACACAGAATCCAGCCAATTTCTTCCATTTTTTCTCACATCTCTCACCCCCAAACCCCTTAGCACCCTTGGGGAAGATAGAGGAAAGGAGGAAATGGAGAAAGGAGGTCATTAGAGCTTGGGTTTTTGGTTTGAAACTTTGATTTAAGGTAGGGGATTTCTTCTCTTTCTCTTACATTGAGACTAGGGCTATGTATACATATAGGTTTTTTTTTTTTTGATCTAAATCTTAGATGTATGTTAGGAAACCTTTGATTCTTGATGTCTATGCAAATATTATCATGTTCTAAACAATGTTATGGTTGGGTAATTACTTTCTCTTGTTTTTGCTCTCAACCCTAACTTTTGAGAAATATGGATTTTTCTCTCTATAGTCACTCAATCTTGGCTTTGAAAACTTTAGTGGTTTGTGTTGAGTAATAAATGATGTTGTGGTGATCTCTTGTATTTTCCTAATTGTTTATTGAAATTGCCTCATAATGGATTTGTGGATCTTTGGAAATTTGCTTGTAAATTGGAGATTTATGGAATCCTTGGTTATGTGTGACGATTGTTGGGATGATGTGATCTTGTATGGTTGTTGGAATGAACATGGATGAGAGGTTCCTTGTAAGGATGCTCATTCCATCTCAAGAGGTTCCTTGTAAGGATGCTTGAGAAACCAAATCTTGAGAGTGAGAGGTTCCTTGTAAGGATGCTCACACCAAAAGAGGACAGTATGTGATTTTCTCAAGAGGTTCCTTGTAAGGATGCTTGAGAAACCAAATCTTGAGGGTGAGAGGTTCCTTGTAAGGATGCTCCCGTTAGAGAGGACAATATGATATCATGTGTGGGAAATGATTTATATTTTGGCAATGGATGTTTATTAGCACTTGGTTGAAATTGCTCCTTTCTATTACTATTGTTACTTAAACTTGAGATTCGTTGAAAAATGCACCAGTTTCATTTCAAATTATGTATCTATGCTATGTTGAAAAATGAGACCGACCCTTTTATATATTTTTATAAACCTTGTATGAGTTGAGAGGATTTTGCTACAGAGCTTCGTGCTCACCTCCTACAAATAACATTTTCAGATTTCACACTTGAGGAGGAGTTAGGAGCCGAGGAGCCCGCCCATTGGGAGACTCCGCTTGAAGGGAATGTGGATCCCGAAGTGGACGCTTAGAGCGACACTTTTATTTTGTTCTAGACTAGATTATACTTAGAATATCCTTTTGAAGTCTAGTTCTTTTTTTTTTTTTGTTATTTTCGCTACGTTATATTATTACATTGTGGAGATGTAAAGGCCAGGATTGGACCTATTCTTTTGGGATGATAGTGTGGATATGATATATGGTGAATGAAAGTTTATTTTATGATGGATAAATAGACCCGGTGTGGTCAATAGTTATGCATATGTGGACCCGGTGTGGTCAATTGTAATATAATTGTACAGGTTGTGTTTTGAGTAAAGCTCCCCGTACAAAGGAGACTCTGCCCAAATTTTGTTAAAATATGAATGGTTGATGAATGAACTTTCGTCGTGATGAATTTACGTAATGCTCTCATGGGGTGAATGGTTTTTAGAATGTAATGTCACCCAAGGGGGTTTTTGGGGCGTTACAAGTACACCCCAGAAATTAGGGGAAAGCTGAGCAGGGCAGACATTGAAGTGTTGCAAAACACTATTGATGAAGGATGCATACGGAAGCGAAAACCATTCTCAAAAGCAGCCGCAAAGAAACATACCCTCTTGTGAACTTGGGCAACGTCTATGGTCTATTTATCTGGACACCAGGAGGAAAATCGTAACGAGCACTGAGAATTCTCACATGAGAAGAGTCAACCTCACTGGGTCCTACGAGCTCAGCGTGCCTAAAGGCGGCCTCTATGCCCGCTGCGCTATCAGAGACTCCTATCCCACTCACATTGCCCTTACCTTTGTTAGGATTAGGGGGTACAGAAGAAGACGATGGGGATGATTCATCAGTATTTTTCTCGGCATCGACAGCATCCACATTGGGGAAGTTGTCAATTTTCTCACCTACATCTCCTAAATCAGTGTCCTCTTCGACAGACCTTTCCCCCAAGAGAGAAACAGAGGAACGTGTAACTCTAGAAGGAGTAGACATGACTGGACAGGAGAAGGATAAACTTAAAGAATGGTAGAGAGGGAGAATACCGATTAAGCACTCTCTAATAACCTTAGGGTCAGCGCAGTAGCTTCCAACAGCAAGGATTTGCACGATAGAAGACCAGTCCACGAATTGGGGGAGAGAAGACAAGCAGTAATTTCGATTCCAAAAGTAAAAAAGTCGAAAGGCCCAGAAATGCAATGGCTACCTCGAATTCGAGGGATCTAGAACAAAAAAAAGATGAAAAAGGGACAGAAGGGCATACCTAGGGGAGAAAGAGCAACGAACAGCAGCTTAAAGTGAAATGGAAGAAAGAGGACAATGCGAATCTTCAAATCGAATCCACAGAACTCGATCTTGAATGAGGAATCAGAGAATTCCAAATCAGAAAGCCAAGAAATCGCAAGAAGAGGAAGCAGCAGAGAAGTTGAACAGTTGAATAGGGCGGTTCAGATAGCCGTTTGAGCATTTAAAGCCTGAAAGACATGGACTGAAACGTGCGTAAAAAACGAGGAAGCCATGATTACTAAAAGTCGCCAAAAAGAACAAACTCACGTGCGGGCCAAGGTCAGCCATGCGCAGATCCTACTTGGTTTACAAAACAATTCAACCTCTACCCAAGCCCGCTTAAACCAGGGGCTAAGGGGCAACTGATGATACCTCAAACAAGCCCCCTAGTTATGAAATCAGGTCAAGAGGTTAGGAAAGACACGAGGAACTTAGAGAACTAGGGGTGGAGCTCCCCTTGGGGAGATCGTAGCTGAACCGACTAGGAAACAGCTGAATGACTACAGAAATTGGGCCCCGTGCATAAAACTTTCAACCAACCAAGATTCTCTCCTAAAATCAAGGAGGATCCCATGAATAATAGGCAAAAATCTCAGCCGAAATCTTACGGAATAGGGGACAGTCTTATAAATACTATGCAACGTCTCATCGTGAGGCAAGGAAAAAGAAAAACTCTAATCAGTTTAGCACTGTCTTGTATTACATTCAACTAATCAATAGAGAAGAAAAGGAGCAAGAGTCTCCATTGAACAGTAGACTAGCCGAGCTCCTGAGCCGATAAACTACTATATTTTCACTGTGTCTACCCCTTTAATCCCCTCAATATTTTATTGCCGCATTATACACGAGCCTTGTAGCTCTAATCCACGCTCATCTCACGTTACCTGCACTTTTTGTTCATCCACATTGATTTACGCCATCAATTTTAATATGAAACAATTTAGACCCGCCAAGATGACCACTTAGAGATAATTGCATCCATGGAATTAATAGCATAAATAGTCAATGCCACGAACCTGAAGAAAGTCTCCAATGTTATCAATCAATGTACCTGGAACCCGCTTGACATCAACCCACGCGCCGTCGTGCTTCACTTGCAACCCTGGAACCTGGTTCTGCAACAAAACCGTCAGCAAGCCCGGATCGGTGTGGTGCGAAAGACCCACCGTCAAGTCCGGCTGTGGACAGTAAGGGTAGCATGTCCCCAATGTTAACTTCTTATCCAAGAGCGCCAACTCCTTTATCTTCCCTGCACTCAAACCCAGCCCTCACTCAATAGCTCCGCCACCATCTCCCCGACGGTGGTCGCATGCCCATCCCACGCCATCTCTTCGTTCCGGCATATCGCCGGTATCTTATCAACTTGCGGAGGCTCCGGCGACATCCACACCTGTAGATAGTCTTGCTTTATTCAAATTTTGGAGTCATCAAATCTTTCAATTCCTTCATCCGATCATCATGAACAGCAAGTGTACCCATGGCTGCCATGTTCTCCGACTATCTGTGTTTTAGCTGCTTTACGGTCTTTGAGACTCGAGGGCTGTGATCTACTTGGGGCATCTTACAGGTAGGGGTTTCTTGAATGTAGTTGATGTGACTTTTCTGAAATGTTCCATGATGAAGACACGTGTCTTCGGTATTATCAAAACACTGTTGTTAAGATCAAGCATCATCGGCGCACAAGGTCCTCGCCCTCGAGGTACTCGTCATATAGGATCATGCATTCAGTATGTTTTACAACCGACACGTGGCCTCGGTCTGATATAGTACCTCGGTTGGTATACCTCCCTCGGTTCCGAGATGAGCCTTTCCTCGGTGCCGAGAGGTACCCCATCCTGGACGTTTCCTCTACTCCAGGATAAGCTATTGACGTACAGGTCATTAGCCTAGGCTATTCATCATGACCTCGTCTTACGCAATTAGTGTCAGAACGTACTGGAATGCAGGGGTCACAGCCAATAAGGGATGGACGCGTGGCATATGATATCACATCGAAGACAGAGAAACCGCATGTCATTGCTGACATGCGACTTGGAAAAGTAAACTATTAATTACACCATTCCCTTGATGAAACCGCATTCAATGCGGTAAGGCTCGAAAATGAAAGGCAATAAATGCTCCTAATACAGAGCATTTATTGCATCCTCCCCGAGAGGAGTACATTGTACTGTCGGCATCCCGATGACCCAGCATTGATTGCTCGGGACCCCGAGCAGTTAAGAAGAAAAGACATTCCTCATCAGAATCAGTGCGCACACTGCCTGTACCTAATGATCATCTACTGACTACACTGACAGCAATCATGAGCTTTTAAGGTATAAATACTCCTTGCAAAAGGCAAGACGGGTATGCAACAAAAAAACTCTTTACTACAACACTCACTCAGTGTTTTCTCCTTCCTCTCTCTTTCTAAAAGACTGACTAGATCGTCGGAGGGGATACGCCGGAAAACACTCCGGCGCCCTTCTAACTTGTTCTTCTTTGTTCCAGGAACCTCTTTCAGCCTTACTGGATCACTTTTCCGCTCCCCCAAGGTCTCCCGTTGCCGTTCCAGGTTATCACCGGACCTCGCAGGCTGTTCCAAGCAGCGTGGTTGGTCACTCAACTGGCTCACTCGAGTTCACCAAGGGAGAGATCTGTTCTCGTTTTTTATATTGTGCAGGATCTTGCACGCACAGTAGCTTACCATATTATTTATTAGGATATCACGCGCTTGAATACACGGTACAATGTAAATGATTTTAAGAAAAATATTAGTTGTCGTTGAATGAATTTATTTGAAATTATTAGATATACTTATTGAAGTATGTTATATTTTATATTATAAATTGACAATACATTTTTGGTAAGAAAGTGACACATCAAAGGACTACAAACACGTTGGAGTAGGGGCGTCCATGGATCGGGTTGGGTTTAGATAGCATAGATCCGAGTTATAGGACAGGTCAAACCAGATTTCGGGTAGGGGTAGGTTACTCGTAATGCGGACATTTTTTATATACAATTTTATTTAAAAATAATGAATATTTTTGTAACTTAATATATGTGTAAATTATATTTTTGAATTAAAAGTAAAGTCAAAATGGATAAAAATAAAATAATTAATTAATTTATTTTTTATTAGGGGATGATCTACATCTAACAAAATGAACACATCTCAACTAGGTTGACGTCTATTCACTTATCTATCATTTGCATTATTTTACCCTTTAAAATTTGTATTCTTAGTACATGAAAAAGAAAATAATACATTATTTATAGTATTTAAATTTTTAAAACTTCAAATATCGACATTATGATACTTATTTCAAAATTTTAAATTTAATGGTCTAAAAGTATAATTTTTTTTCAAAGGAAGTGTGAGCGGGCTGTGTGGGCGGGTTGGGCTGGGTTTCGAGCCAAGTAATGGATTTTTGGGCCAACCAAAGTCCTCTTTTTAATGATATTGGACTTGGGATCAGGCGGGATAACTATCGGGCCTATCGAGTTTTATGCCTATGTTTTTCGGGCCGAGTAACGAAATCCGTGAGTAATCCAGTACATGAACCCCATACGCTGGAGGCCTATGTGATAACATAGGCTCACCTTGTATTGAACAATCACATTGAACATAGTTTCGAAGGTCTAGTCTGTTCAAACAAGTCTTCAAATATATTGATTGTGATCTGGATGGCCTCCTAAGGTACCCGAGATTAATAGTCTAAATCAATATATAGAATAATGTGACATGTGAATTAGTGACGGAAAGAACGAAACAATGGGTATTTTCGATTGGACACCATCTATGAGAGCTGTGAGAGGGGTTTCGGAGGGAATAAGGTGGATGTCGCAGTATTTGTACATTTGACGGATGCGGGTATGACTGATCCTTTAGAATCATGATGTTAAACTCGACAAGCATGCGTCGCATGAAAGGGAAAAAAAAGATTGAATAAAAACCTTGTGTATATCGAATGTAATTTTATGTTAAGACTTAAGTGACGTAAAAGAATAATAGAAAGACAAAAAAATAAAATCTTGCAGAGGTCAAAATGCAAATCATGCATAAAAATAAGTGGGTATAATAATAATACATGGAAAGTATTAGATGGAAATACAAAATTATAAAGAAATATATATATATATATATATATATATATATATATATATATATTAAATGTAGAAAGTGTAGCCGTCTATCTCTAGATAACACGAAGTCTAATATATTTAAACATTAGTTGCTTTACTTGGACACCCCCTACTTAGATTTGATTACTTAACCTACTACAATTTCAAGGCCTTTCGTCTATCCTTCTATTTGATATCATATGGTCTCATTTTTCTCTTAAGTTTTCTTGCTCTCTCCATTTTTTCTAAGTGGGTCTTAGTTGGTTTCATAAAAAAAATCTCAGAAATTGACTTTGGAGGTGAAATTATCTTCCCATAATCGGTTAGGACTTTTCTTCTTTGCATAGTTATGAACTATTATTGGAATATTTTTACTGAAGTTTTGAAAGAATTTGAGGTGGGTTAGAATAAGTTTAGTAGAGAAGCTGAAAACTAAATTCGTATCTTATACAAAAATGACAAGAACTCATTTTAAAAAACTCGAAATGAGGTGCCATTTGTTGCGCTAAAAATTAGAAATGTAGAACTTTTCATCGGCGTAGAGTAGAGCATTTGGTATTTCTGAGTAAATACTGGTGTTAGTTTAAAGTTTGGTGAAAGTAGAGGAACGATTGTAAAGTTTAAAATCAATGTTCAATGGAAAAATAAACATAACAAAATCCACGGGTTATCGTTTTGAATGTGTGACCTATTGTTAGGTCATCTCCAATATTGACTCAAAAGTTTATTCAAATTTAAAATAACATTTGAGTAAAAAATTTGATTTGATATAAAATATTCTAATAGACAAACTCAAATTTAAATTTGCACAACCTCAAATTTAAAAAAAAGAAATTAAAATATGACCATTGAATCTTTTAAAAGAGTAAAATTTGACAATTGAATATTTGAGTTTTTCTTCATTTGGTATAAGTTTGAATAAAGAATTGGAGGTTATTTTAGTCTTTTTTTACTCAAATTTAAATGAATAAGGGTTTGAGTAAGGAATAGAGATACTCTTAGAAAGACTAAGAAATTTACTGTCCAATGAAATTTGTTTGTTGTAGGATACTAGATGTATTAATAGAAATTACCGAATGAACACAGATAAGTCAAACTAATATATTCCACTAATATATGGAATGATGAAAATTAGGATGAACGAAAGTATAAAGGATACATTTTTTATCCTTCAAGAATGGAAAGTAGGAATTATACATTTTCATTCATTTGTATTTAGTTGGATGGATCAAAAAATAAAAATGATTAATTTTTTTTTTTTTGTGCTGGCTAAGATTAGGAGTGACAATCGAGTCGTGTCGTGTCAGATTCGTGTTGAGTCATAAAATTATAAATATTTTATATTTCTTTTTTGCGTGTCAGGTCATTTTCAAGTTCGTGTCCAGTTATATTCAAGTTTCTGTCATAAAATTCGTATCAAGTTCAAGTCGTGATATCATGTTGAGTCGAAAATTTTCACCCATATTTTAATTTTTTTATTTATTTTAAAAAACAAAAAATATATATATAAATACATATTTTATTATTATATTTTTATATAAAATTAATGTATAGACAATATATACATATATACATTAAAAGATATATAGACAAATAAGATACATCTCAATACAAATAATTAATTTTCTATCACTTTTCTTTTGATTTTGAAAGGATTCATTTTGGTAAGCTAGAAAAAAAGTTAATTCATCCACTTTTTCATCTTTCTTATTTTCTTTCTTTACCAAACATGATATTTTATTTATTCCCCTAATATTCTATCATTCTAACTTTTTATTCTTCCATCATATCAAATGGAGCAATCGAATGAAAATACCTAGTTTTGCATACATTATACGACATGAATATAGTTGCATGGAGAAATTGTGATCGATGAGTTTTCCTGCTATCCAAATAATCTAAAAATGAAGTTTAGATGATGGAAACATGTTTATATGCTCGTGAGTTTGAGAACTATCTCAAACTCACGAGCATATAATTTGTGATCGTGAGTTTGTGAACGATCTCAAAGTGTGGTGTGTCTTTGCTAGTCACATTCGATTCATTTTTAATGCATTCTAATCCATTGCAAATCATATGAAGTAACAAGCATAAACGCTGACAAGAGTATGCTTATTTATTACTGATATATGATTGTGGGATCATTGACATGTGATAACTTTGTGAATATTTATATGTGGCAGAAATTGCCTCTTAACTCGTAACTTAATATCAATCCTTTAAATCATGATTTTGACCTAGTTGACTCGAAATTTAATATGATTGAATCATAACATT